TGTGAATCAGTTCTCAGCTCTCATCTGCCACTTGACACATACAACAAACAATATTGTTGGGATGAGTTCAGCCTATACTCTTCCACTTGAGGTTGAGAAAAGAAAAGGGAACCATAGAATAGGACAAAACCTTTTCTAATTATTAGCTACAATTAAAACTTAGTCAATTATCTTTAATTAAGTATACTAAATTAAAATTGCACATTGATCCAAGATGTCACCTGACTCACTTCCTCATTCTTTAAATTTTCTTTTATGTAACTTGAATAATTTTTTTCTAAGTTTTTTCATATATTTAAAGAATCGAAACAAATCTTTATATATGTCAGACGCGAATATTTCAAGAAAGAAAATGAAGGGTCGCAGCAAATTAAGTTCTTCTCTTGTATATTAAACATAATGAGCTTAATTAAATTAAATTTTGTATTAGAGAATAGTATATCTGCTACTGCTGAGAACTTTGACTGGTATCCTAGGCAAAAACAAAGATACCATAAAAATCTAATCAAGGAAATTAACATTGTAAAGTGTTTTGAGAGCAAATGCTGCTTCTCCAATGAACATGGCAAACTTTAAGGGAGCTGCTGTTCATCATTTCTTCATATTTTTATCACCTGTCTTTTTTTTTATATATATAAAAATTAAGTTGGGGAAAGTGATGAAGATGATGAATTCCACATGTAAAGTTGATGATTGATGGTGCCTAAACACTGAAAAAAGGAATTGATTTGTTTTTATTTTAATATTTACATTCATGGAAGGTGGTCCAGAATTTGTTTCAAGGCAAGATCAAGACATATTTCTCCTCTCCAGGCTTGCTGAAAAGAGAAAGAAAGTTTTACTTGAGAGGAAATGAAGTAATCAAGAAAAAGAAAAATCATGAGGATTTGGATTTGTCAAAAAGCTTTCCTTCCATTAAGAAATACATAAATTCATTTTCCTGCCTGTCAAATTGGTGATGAAAAAAAAATCTCTATAAAATTAATGAGTGAAATTCTAATCTTTTGAAATTTTTTCGTGATTAAAATTAATAACTATGTAACCTATTAATAGAATGCTCGATTTTTAATTTCATTTATCAGAATTCAATTTTAATAATCTCAAATATTAAAAAAATTGATAGAAGCCTACTTTATAATTAAAACTCTAATTAGTACAAAACTAATATAGTTGTGATTTACATAAAAACATTTGATTTAATCATTGATATTTTTTAAAAAAAGTAAAATTTGAAATCTCTTTTTAAAAATACAAAAAAAAAAAAAACCTATCATTGTGATTTTTGTTGAGCCTTTTTTATAAATTAAACTTGAAATAATCGGTCATGCAATTTATTAAATTTACGAGAATAACTCAATTGTACTTAATAAATGAAATATAAAATTAATGAAAATTTAGTAAACCAAATTTCAAGTGGTTTGCAAAAATTAATATCATTAGATTGAATTATTTCATAAAATTTTAACAATCTAAACCCTAAATTAGACTCATATAACTAAAATCAAGTGAAATAGAGAATAATATAATTATAATTTAATGATTAAAATTATTTAAACAAAAATTTGTACCCAAAAAAAAGGTCTTCGTACAATAAACACAATCTATTTTCTTTAACTCTCCCTGCATTCTCATACTTCACTTAAGAATAAAAAAATATTAAAGCAAATGGAAAATTACAAAATAAACTAAATTAAAACATTGATTAATCAAAGATTCTTTTTTAAAGTTTTTACCCATGCGCTGTTTTGACGGTTGAAACATAGTAAAATAACTGGTTAGGACTTCTGGTCCGAAAGACCAGAAACACAAGGATGCCTTTGTGCCAGCTGACATGTGTGAATTAAAGAAATACTAGTGATATATTAAAATTTTTTCAGTTCATAATGTATTGAACTTTTACTTTTAACCATAGTAAGTATCAAATTAGTTCATTTAATTGGCAAGGATTGCTTTTCTCGATATAAAGATTTGATATTCGAGTTTAGTCGATAATTTTTTATTAAAATTATTTCAAATGCATAATCAATAATTATTATTTTTATATTATCGAATATGATACATCATATTTTGATCACTTGAAATTTGAGTAACCTATTTATGCCTAGATTTTTTAAAACCAAAAATATATATAATAAGACTTAAGTTTTTAGCATTTGGGTAGTGATCCTATCATTTGGATTAATGGGGCTTATCTAATTTTACATTGAATGTTTCGAAATTAGATGTTAATTTGTTTGATTTACAATTGCTTTATTTTTATAGAATTTTTATTGATAATTTATAAAAAATGAACTCATATATACTACATGTTAAATATTATTTTACAATAAAAAAATCAATGGATGGTAATAAAATTAAATTTTAATTTTTTTAATTTTGATTTTAAATTTCAATATTATAGTAATTATTAGATTTGAAGATTAATATATTTGTATCTTATAAAATATTAAAATTTGTATATTTATATTATATTTTATATGAAAACTGTGTATCACAATTCGTATCTGACACTAAAATATAAATTTTAATTTTTTAATTTTGTTAAACTTATAGATAATTATTATTAAAATTTCAAATCATGTTAATTTTATATTTTATTTTTGTATCATATTTATTTTATGTCATTATATCATATTTTAAATTATTATTTTTAATAATTACAGTTTATAAATAATGAATAATATATAAAATGTAAAAAGTGGTGGCAATTGAGTAAGTGGAATCCGATTTGAATTGGATATTTTAGGTAAAAAATTTCAAACCATTTTAGATTTAGGTGATTTTAATTTTGGATTTTTTGAGTTTAACATTCAGTTATTAAAATTCAAATTATCGAACTATGATCATAACGGTTAAAACAAAGAAAATGAGAAGTGGAAGACAAAGAAAAGAAAATAATTGGCATAATAATAAATCCAAGCTTCCAATTTTGAATCTTATCAACAAAGACAATGTCCAAAAGTTTGAGTTGCCTGACCAATTAGGATGTCATTGAGCCGGGAAGCGTGTGGTTCAGTCCGTGTGGCGATCAGTTTGTGAGTGAAAAAGATTTACCATACTCCTTGGAATAGGTGAAAATTATTTACATCTCTCCCTTCAAAAAATCTCAAAATTTAATACTCTATTTTTACTGAGTATTTGACAGCAGTTAATTTGAAATATCAAGAAGATAATTTTCTCGGATTTTCCTCATGTTTTAATAATTGAACAGAGATTGAACCGGTTTGATATTCGATTTTGGATTCATTGGATTAGATCGACCTATTCAACATGACTAGAAATTTTGATATCTTTGATGTTAATAGAAACAAGCATTTTCTTTTGATTTGCAATTAAAATTTTAAGCATCCAAAAATGACCAAAATAATAAGCAACCATATGAGAAAATGTCACAAAGGCAAAGACAAAGAAATTTGTCAAAACTTACCCTATTTGATGCTAAAAACTTGAGCTAATGTTTCATTTTAATTCAATTATTTATATAATTATCGTTAAAAATTAATAATATAATAAATATGAGATTTAAAATTTTTTTTTAAATATTTTAATTTTATCATTTTTTTAAAACTCATTACTTCTAAATGCAACATTTCAATGTAACTATAAATTCAATATACTAAACAAACTAATATTTATAGTGGTTAAAGATGAGACATCAAAGACTTGATTTCGAATCAAACCCACATTCTCCTTATTTGTACTTATTTGTACTAAGACTTTACTCTCCTAATATAATTAAAAAAAAATACTAAACAAACAAACATTTATAGTAAAAATGTCCATTTACAACAAATTTATTCTTAATCATTAAATATGAGTAAAATTTTAATATGCTTGTAATGAATTTATCTTTAATTGAAATTTTATAATATGATCATTTTGTAAAAAAACAATTAAATTTAATTGGTAAAGTCTAAAAATTTTGTTGTTGATATGTAATATTAGGGTTTAAGTTCAAATCTGTCATTGTATTATAGATTAGTATTGAATCTTAGTATCGTGTTTTAATTTTGTTAAATTTTGTGACATTTTAAATTTTATCAATTTTTATTATAAAATACCAAAATTATGAATATTTGCCATCTACATTAATAAAATGTTTCGTGAAATATCTTACTCTTTGTCTAACAATTAATGAGATTAAAAATTTAATAATAAAATTTGTTGATGATATTTTTGGATATTAGTTGGGGGACGACGGTCCGGAAGCTATGCAAAAGGGAAACTTGAACCTATAGCAAAAAAGTGTGGTTAAGGTGCGTTAGAGTTTGTTTTTAAATCGTATTTCGATATGCAAGTCAATAAATATTTTACGATTTATTGAGAAAGAAGATATACAATAAATATTAAGGAAGCAAAAAAAAATGCTTAGTTCATATTATACTTAGGCATCCTTTTTACTTTATATCTAAGAGGAAAGGAGGTGACATAATTAAAATAATTAATAGTTGATAATGAATTTATGTAGAACTCAAAAATCGATTACATGAATAATTTTAAATAAATTAAAAATCGGTTATACTATTTCGAAATGATGTCTTATTTGGATGTTAATGGAATTAGTTGAGAGTCCTTCCCTGGTAAAAGTAAGCTTGATTTGTGTATAGAGATTTAGATGTCGATCTTACTTAAGGTAACATGATAATTAGATGTGTGTTGATTTAACAATTATGAGAGTTGATTTTATTGATTGAACAAATAAGTATAGCAAAATTCAATATAAAAATAAAAAATAAATATAACATCCAATATGAAAGCATAATATATCAACAAATTTTACCTTAATAAGCTAAAATTACAAGTTTTCAGCTGCAAAATTAGGCTTAATATTTTATACTATATTCTTAAAATATATTTGTTTGGTGGGCCACTTGAGGAGAAGCCCAGGCGATGCCCACTGCCACACCACACCACACCCATCTGCTGCCATTTTTTTTCCTCGACTTATTATAAATAATGACCCTAACCCCTTACCTTATTCTTAACCACTACAAAATCCACTTCCTGTTTTGCTCATTCAATTCTCTCTCTCTCTCTTTAGCTTCCAAAAGGAAAAGGGTACTAAAAAATCCACAAAAAAGATCCCATTGATCTTTTTCCAAGCTAAAAAGAACCCATCCTTTTGTTTTTTAGATTGTTCTTTTTTTTGTTGGTTTCGGCCATGGCTTCAACTCTTGCAACAAGTTCGAGTGCGCCACCAAGTTTTTACTTTGATGAGAAATGGAAGTTATCAAAGAAAGAAAGTTCATCAAGGAGTCGTTCTTCTTCATTCATGATCAAGAATTCTTCATCTTCTTCAAGTAAAAGATGGGCTTTCACAAGGAAATGTGCGAGATTAGTCAAAGAGCAGAGAGCTCGTTTTTACATCATGAGACGATGTGTTACCATGCTTATTTGCTGGCGTGACTACACTGATTCTTGAATCAAGAAAACCCAAAATTTGGTCTCTTTTTCCCTTTCTTTGAGATGGTTTTTGCCTTTCTTTGGAGGGTCAATTAGCAAGCAAGCGCGCAAAGCTTTGTTTTTTTGGTTTATCAATGGCATCCAAGCAGGAAGAAGAGGAAGAATTTCAAGTTATATATACTTGTATATAAGGATTTGTTTTTTTTTTTTTTTTTTGAATCTCCATTTTTGGAGATATGGGTTTTTGCTAATGTGACTGTCTCTTTCATCAAATGATTAATATTAATATAAATAGAGAAAATCAAGCACATTTTTTTTCTTTTTTTTTCTTTTACTTCATATTTATGGCTTGTTTTCTGTTTTATTTTCTGGGTTTCTTTGAGTCTTGAGATCTAAGAAAGAGAGATTCCATTCAACTGTTGCAGGTTTAGCTATGGTGTGGATCTGGGAATGGGTTGCTGACAAAGATTATTATTTAATTGTTATTTTTCAATGATCTTTTTAATTATTAACAGTTTTTAATTCATTATTTCTTTTATTGTTAGTCACATTTGGACATGGGAAAGTGAGTTTTTAAGTGTCCTTGGATGCCTTAAAGGGCAGTGAAGATTCCTTTTTTTCCTCTATTTTTTAACATTAATTTGTATTATGAAAATTAGTAGTAAATTTACTCACATTTTATATTTTTTTATCTAAGAAATGAAAATTTGAAGGCTTAAGTAAAAAAAATCCTAAACTAAATGAAATAATTCAAATTCTTATTTTTTTTAACATTTATTTTCATTAAATTAAATTTTTATTAGGTGAAAATTTATTAATCATTATTATTCAATTCTAATTTAATCAAAAATTTAATTGAATAAAAATATATTTCCAGTTTAGATAAATTATTAAAAATTTAATTGAATAAAAAAATTTTTAAGAGTTTAATTGGATAAATAATAAAATTGATTGCAATATAATAATAAAAATTTAGATAATTATTTAATTTTTCTTTAAAAATTTCTTATATTTAAGGCAATTTTAAATAATTTTAAGAAAGGAAATTTAGGTAGGAATTTTTTATGTTTCCACTACAACAAAGGGTGGAGTTATTGGGCACTACATTCTATGTTCTGTGAAAAAAACCAAATGACCATATTATCCTGCCAGTTTGAGGCCTTTGACCAGCCATGGACCACTTTGACCTCTTATCCTTAGTAAGGGCACATTGGTAAATCCATTTCTATTGGTAACTGGTAATAATTTTTTTTTTGGTGGTTTTCAGTGTTAGTACATATTTTATTTAAATTTGATGAATTGTTTTTTATTGATGATTCTAGTAAATACATGAATTTACAGGGCATTTGTGTCCACAGAATTATTACAGCTGGGTTTCCCTACAGTTGAGACTGTGAGCGGTGAAGTGTGGTGTTTATCGATGGATCTGACCATTCATTTTTTTAAAATGGAAACCCTTTGGAAATCATAAAGTTTCAGTACTAAAATAAGAAATCTACAGTAAAATTAAATTATTTTGCCTGCCATATGTATACAAATGAAAGTTTGCACCCGTTTCAGAATTGTAACTCAATTTTTCAACCATATGTATTCGAAGCATATTTCGATTTTTTTTTTTTTTTTCGAATCGAATTTAAAAAACATATTTTTTTATATTAGTATAACAGATTATGAATTTTAGTAAATGAAGTTTTATTTTGATAGTAAAATAATTTTGATATTTAAAATATATCATTATTTTTTATTTAAATTATTTTTTAAAATTTTTAAATTAAAAAAATTTACTCAAATTTAATTTTACGTAATCGAAAAATAGAGTCAATGAGAATCAATGTATATATAGAATTGATCGATGGATGATTGGTCTTTTTCAATCTTCTTATTTAACCATGACATTTGATCTGTTTGCTTGTATTCAAAGGAAATGCCAAAAAATGTTGATAACAATGAGAAGTTTTGTATTATGTTATTGCTTTGTAAAATAAAATAATGTTTAATTCGTGTTTTTGAATAAAAAAATATGTTCAATTTTAATATGATTATATCAAATGATTAATTTTGACTAAATTCGATATGTAATCTTATTTTTTTAGTATAAAACTTAAAAAAATAAAATTTTTACTCGTATTATTGTTATCTCAATCTTTTGAATTAATGAAAACGACAAGAATTAAAATTAAGTGAATTAGGTTTAAGAATAGAGTAAAAATAATTTCAGATGAATCACATTTCAACTTAGTCCAAGTTTCTTCATAGCCGAAATTGATGTCATTGATAAGAATTTATCACTTTTTAATTATGTCCATTTGTGAGCAAAGACAAATTGGTACGATAAGTTTGTTTGTTTTTGGCTTTTGTGTCTCACTTTCATGATCTTCATCTCCTCTCACTTTCTTTGGGGTCCTCCTTATAGATTTAGGTCAAAAAAGATGCTTTGCTTTTTTCTCTTCCCACATTTCCTTCATGGCATGCAATTTCTAGTTAGGCAATCAAATTAACAAGCATCACTAATAGAATTAAAAGTCTATTTAGATATACAATGAGATTAAAAATAATAATAAAAATTATTATAATTATGATTAAAAAAATTATTATAATTATCATTAAAAAAATTTATGTTGAATAAATTTATTAAAATTAATATTTAAATTTAACTAATAATACGATAAACTTAATTGTATTACATTAAAAATACAATGAAATCCAAACCTTGCTAAATCAAAGATTTAAACAATAATGATTGAATTTTAGCTAGGCATGCTAAATGGGACCCTAAAAATTTGAGAACAAAATGATAAGAAAGAGATGGAAATAAAAAATTACAAAGCATTCCCTAAACTTTAATGTAGGAGGTGGCTTAGACCCCTAAATGGTCAAAGAAAGAAAGTGGGAAAAACATTGGTCACCCCACAAATCTTAATTAGGATCATTAAGCATCTTTGATTGAAAGTTGGGTGTCTATTTTTTTTATCATTACACATCAATTTGCTCTTTGTTGTCAATTGTGGTCTAAAAGTGGTTTTTCTATTTTTGTTGGGGTTTATAGTGATGATTTTATCAAGTTGTGTTTTGACCCAAATTTATATTCAACAATGACTCAAATCTTCCTTTTTTTTTTTGGCTAATTGATTGTGGAATCTTAGCATGTGACCATACCTTAAATAAAATATTAGCTATTCATCTCAATAAGTCAAAAAATTTGCAAGTCTCACTATGAATCCCATACCTCATTTCTTTTTCTTTTTCAAATAAAGAACCTTTTCAGCTTTAATTTTCAACAAAAATGTATTTATAAGTTGTGGAAATTAAATTTGAGCCATAAATTTTTTAATAAATTAAATTTTAATCACTAAAATTAAAAATCCAACAATAATTTAAAATATAAAAAAAGGTCACTTGGGCCCAAATTTGCTGTTGGAGTGGTCCATAGTTTAAGGAAAGCTTCCAATATGTCCTTCAAACTTAGAACAATTTATGGCACCCATTCTATCATTTACATTAAGGGTCAATAGATTTGGGTTCAAACCCTAATCCTGAAGTACTAAACCAAACAAGGTGTTAAGCAAAAACTATGACCCCCAATGCCAAAATCACAAAAACTTATGTGGGACAAGCCCTAAAACCTGAGAATTTTGCAATATATAGGACAAGCTCTAAGAAATAGGCAGAACCTTTAGGTCCCCTCTTTGTCAACGGTCACATCAATGACACGCAAGCTTGAACAATATGATAAAACCCTGAAATTGGAAGTATCCCACCTGGCGTCGCCCCATTGGGTTTGGTAACCTTTCAAATGGGACCATCAGTCACATGGGAGGCAAAGAAAAATAGGACTCCCTACCCTTCACAAGGGGTTACGGGGATCTAAAGGGTCACCTCCTTCCCCGTGTTTTAGATAAATTTGATAATTCGTATGGTATAAAATATTATATTTATAATATATTATAATTTATATTAATATAAAAATATAAAATTTATATTTTTTATTTTATTAAATTTATTTATAATTTTTTTAAAATTTTAAATTATATTATTTTCATAATATTTATTTATATTATTTTTATATTATATTATTATATCATATTATAAATTGTCATATTTAAGGGGTTTTGGCACCCTAGCTTAGGAGCAGCTAGGGGTAGTGGTGGCGTGGGCTTTTTGCCCACATGAGATTTTAGCGGATGAGAGGAAAGTTTTGGCCTTTGGGAGGGACAATTATTGGAGGGTAAGGTCCCCTTTGTTTCACTTCTCCAAGGGACTTATCACAAACATTAAATTATGGATGCCTTTGCCTAGATTTGTATGTGGGTATATATCTGGACCACATTCCATTATCTCTTTGCTTTTTATGCATTGCATTTGGACTTGGCCAAACCTTGTCCATGAACATGGCCTTGTTAATTTGAGTAATGTTTTTAATATGTTTGGGGATCTCAACTCAGTTTAATTGTTTGTATGTTATAACAAAAATAGATCATTCTAGTTGGACGTAACTCAAATAATAATAATTGTTTTTATATTTAAATGAGCATACCATTTAAAAAGAGAGTATATATTCAATAAATGACTTAGGTTTTGTGCCATAATAGTCAAGTGTCAACGTCGTTTTGGCCTCCATTCAAAATTTAGTAGGAGAAAATGAATTTTCATCAATGGATAAAGCATGGAACAAATAAAGTATTTTTTATCCTCATTTTCATCTCGACATTTTTTGTATTATATTTATTTTTGTATCCACATTCAATGAATATTTTAAATTTATCTTCATTTTGATAAACATCCCATGGATATTTAACTATAGCTTTTTTTAAAATAAAAAATAAAAAATTATTTTTTAATTTTTTCTTATATATTTGGATAATTTTTTTTATAAATATATATTTTTAATAAAAATATATTAATTTTCATTAATCTAAAATAATAATTTATATTGTTTAATAAAAAATATATTTATTAAACATATATAAATATATATGTTAGTACAAGTATGTGACGAGCATCGACAAATGCTATATTATTTGTTTTATTCTTATATTTAATAAAAATTTAAAATCATATCCGTCTTTATCTCATTCGAGTAAAAAATCAAAATTTTCATTACATATGAATAAAATTAACATTTTTATTTTCATTGCATTGACCACTATCACTAAATGGGGTTTTAAAAGATTAAAAACTAGCTGACGATCTTTGACGACGTTTGTGAGATCTTTGCTTGGGATGAGGGTTTGGTTCTTTACGTTTTTGCATTGTAACGTTCATATTATGTGAATTGGTCAAAAGTCATGAATTCATGACTATAACGTAACATTCTCACTACAATTCTAATTGTGTTGATAATGAATTCCCATTTTGTGCATTTACTTCTTTGTGTAAATGGCAATGGAAAAAAATGTTTTTGTTTGCTTGTGATTCTCATGTCAATGATAATTCAATCAATCTTTTTAAGGCAAAACAGGGGATATCTCAATCGGGTGAAAGAACGGAGGAATCTTATATGACCCAATATATTTGATAGTGAAGAACATGTGCTCTATATGATTAAAAGAAAAAAAAAGGAAGAAGTGGAGGTGGAAGAGTGAAAGTGAGCCACTATTTTCTCTCCTTTGGGTGAAATGAAATTCGGTACATTAATCTCATTTAATTTTCCATAAAAAGGGAGGAAAAAAGAAAAAAATACTCATTTTGTTACATCATATTATTTTATTTAAGATTTCGTTGTTGGTTTTTTTTTTATTTTTCATTTCTTATACATGATACGAACAAAATAACATAATAAAATTATATAAAATTTTAGTAACGAGTACTTATAAAACACTTTTAAAAGTTAAATATAAAGTAATTTATTTTTAATATATTATAATTAATAACATATTTCTGCATTTAATATAAAACATTAAAACAATATTTTAACTAAACTTTAAAAAATCCTAAAAACATAGTTAGCAAAATTCAATGATAAATTTTATTCTCCTCCCCAACTAGTTTTTATTTGTCCATTTACAAATTTCTCTTCAAAAGAAAAATATTTTCACATTAAAAAATTTGATTCAATAATTAATGCATAAACTCTCTTGAAAAAAAAAATTGAATATCTCTTTTCTCATATTAAAAATACAACTTTTCTCTTTCTCTTTCCCACCATTTTTCTTTCCCAACTTTGCAGAGGCCCTGTCCAACTAAAAAGCACATCGTCCATAAATTTTGCACATTTGGGCCCAAAGCCCATATAATTGGGGCCATTGAGCCATCAGCGAAGCTCCTCCCACGTCCCACCTAGAACCACTCAGATGCCCACGTTTTAACATCACGCGTCAATACATGCCAAAAGAATTCAACATTTTTACTTCACCGTGTGTTTCACACGCTTAGCAAAGCGACTGGGAATATCAATTCCCTTCTCCACTTAGGAAAAACAATTTTATTTTTATTATAACTCTTCAGCAAACCGGTGAAAAAAACAACAAACTACATTTTGACGACTGTATGGCCACCAGAATCGACGGCGATCGCTCCCGAATTAGCGCCTTCAAACCGACCGGAATACCGAATTGCTCACTCTCTATCCGAATCCGCTGCCCTCGCTCCAATCCGGGTTAGTTAAAGTACACATATATTTTACTTAGTTAAATTTTCTGTTTTTCTTTAAAGCCTTAGGGTTTTAAGCTACTGTAATTTTTTATTTGAAATTAGATTAGAGGGGAATCTAAGGAATTGGACCCTTTTTTAGGGTTTTACTTTTTTAATACAGTTTTAAGAGATTTTGTGAGGGAAAAGAACCCAATTATGTAAAATGATATATTAATATGATATTGATATTTCCAATTTGGGGAAATTGATGGGGAAAATGAAGAAATGAGGGTATTAGGATTTAGGGTTTTTCCTATTTACTCCTAATTTTGAGATAAATTGTAAGGAAAACAGTTAAATTGGTATGTTTGTTTGTATATAAGTTTAAGATTGTTTTCTTAAATATTTTGTTGATTTTGGTCTTAAATTAAGGTACCATGGTGGAATATGATCCATATAATTGACTCTGCATGGTGGGACAAGGGCAGATTTTCAATTTGTTTTGTTTGTAAACATGCAAGAATGATCAAGCTTTCGGGGATTGTGGGGTGTTGTAATGGATTCGAGTTGCGTTTACCTTATTCTTATTTCTTGGACAACCTTTTGACTCATAGTTGATTACTGATTTGCTTTTCTTATCTTCCAAGGTTCACCTCGTTATGTGTGTGTGTGGGTTTTCTATGTTGCCTAAATCATCAAAATGATGTTTAATCGATAAGGTTCTAAAAGTTCGTTTTTTTTCTTTTGTATTGGTGTTTCTCTTGTGCGATCAGGTTTTTAAAAGTCTGGACACCATGGATGATGTAATTGATTTAACTGGCGATGGAGGTGTTGTTAAGAAGATCATAACTCGAGCCAAAGCTGGTGCAGTTGCCCCTTCTGAGGACCTTCCTATGGTTGATGGTATGCACTTGGCAGTTGTTGCTCATTCGCTATGATGACTAATGAGTGATATTTAATTCATTTGTTCATGTGTAAACCTTCTTCTGAACCTCTTGGTGGACAAATATCTTTGTACAAGAACATTTGTCATTATATACCCCAATTGCAGTTGAAAAAATGATATCAAGTGATTGGTCAGCTTGAAGTTTCTTTTCGTTTTATCTTTATTCTTTCTATGTAGCTAAAATGTACAAATGAGCACTTGCAGATTCCTGATTTATAAATTTTTCTTGTTTGGTGTTGAACAGTTCATTATGAAGGCACTCTTGCTGAAACTGGTGAGGTTTTTGATACTACACGTGAAGATAACTCTATTTTCTCCTTTGAGCTTGGAAAGGGCACAGTTATTCAAGCTTGGGACATTGCTTTAAGAACTATGAAGGTCAAAATATACTTTCGTCATGCAGTTTTTTAAGTGATTTAGGCTTCAGTTACATATCTTTTTCCCTTTTTAACAGGTTGGTGAAGTAGCAAAAATAACTTGCAAGCCAGAGTATGCCTATGGTACTGCAGGCTCTCCACCTGATATCCCAGCTAAGTAAGTGTTTCTTCTTGTCATCTTTAATGTCATTAAAAATGCATTCTGAGACTCAACAGCTATGTCGATGAAAATATGAGATCTTGAAATGGCATGGTCAATGCATCCAGTAAATTTTATAGTAGTACTTTTTTGAGGGATTTAGTCTGACCTGTTGCACATCCTGGGATGATTCTCCTGTTGAGCATACGGCAGAATTGACATGCTTGGATATTTAACTTTGAAATTGGATCATTTCTATCTCTCTAATTTCCTAAGGTTGAATTTGATTTTTGCATATTTTTGATGCAGTGCTACCCTTATCTTCGAGGTGGAGTTACTGTCCTGCAGGCCAAGAAAAGGTTTGAGTCTTGGCAGTGCTTCAGAGGAGAGAGCCAGGCTAGAGTAAGTCACATTTTATTTCTTCCACCTTGTTCCACATTATTCTTGTCAGAACGGTCAACCTTGCATCCATTTCTCTCCATATATCTGTCTAATACATGGAACAATGCAAAATTTATTTACCTTTTGATAAATTAAAATCAGAGAGCTGAAGAAGCAGAGGGAACTTGCTGCAGCTGGGAAGGAAGAAGAGAAAAAGAAGAGAGAAGAAGCAAAAGCTGCTGCGGCTGCCCGTATTCAAGCCAAGTTAGATGCCAAGAAAGGTCAAGGAAAAGGGAAGGGCAAAGCCAAATAGTTGCTTATCATACATTAATAGAAGCATAACATTTTGATTTCAGTTGTAATATAAAAATAAATCATTACAAAACTTGTTAGGTGCTTGTATAAACATCAGGCAATAAGTTATTACAGCCCTTCTAGAAATAAGTTAATCAAGTAGACCTTTCATTCTGCTCATTGAGAATGGATATATATGTTAGATACATTGATGAACAGGCCTCCAAAAGTTTCTAAACCATGTAGGAAGCATCTACTCCACCAGTTTCCAGCCACCCAGATCCTGCTCGGAATTTACAAACAGGGCATGTCCCTTGTTGTCGCAACCATGGGTCGATGCAGCTAGCATGAAACTGCAGTAATCACCATGAACTTAATATAAGATTATATCATCATACTCCATTAAATACAAGGACATTCAAGATTTGCCTTTCATATTTGTTTCTTTAATGATAAAAAGAGGCAAAAACAAGACCTGATGCAAACAGGGTAAGCTACGGATAACGTCTCCAACATTGACTTGCTCCAAGCAAACACTGCAGGTCAATTCATCTTCTGAACCCTTTAAGCTGCCGACTGGATTAGCAGGATCCTGCTTCTTCTGCTGAAGAGAATAAACTACCAAGTTATATCGTTTACACCACCCGTTAAAAACAGCGAAACCATAGCCAGATAAGCAACACAGAGACCAACCCTAGAGGTAGAAAAGAGGAGTGGAGAGGAATAAAAATACCTGAAGTGAGTTTGAAGATGACGCTTGTTGAATTGAAGAGTCATTGCTGTAAGCAAAACCAACTTCTCATCAGATTGTTAGCTTATAGGTTCAAAAGTATTTCCACACCAAAGAGAGAGAGAGAGAAATATGTAAACTATAAATGCTCTATCAACCCAAAGATTAAACAACTAAAAATGAATACACCACACTTTCTAAAAATTGTCTTCAAGTATTATGTAGACATCACAAAATCACTTCACATTTTCGAGATCAGCCAATCATCTGTTTGTCATTCCAAACTTATAGCCCGGTAGACAATCAAGACTCATGTAAAGTTCCCTAATGCTTCGTTTTAAGGCTTTGTTTAACATTAACTCGTTCAATAGCCCATAAAGCAGACGGGTGCACTTCCAAAATCCATTGAGAGGAAGGTTTATGTTCTTGAATCACGTACACAAACAAACAAGAAAATCGATACTAACCTTTGAGGAGCAGATACCTTATACTTGTGAACTGGCAGGGCATTTATCTCTTCCTCACTCATTGAAGCAGCTGAGGGAACATTGTCGGTATCAAGTGCTCTCAAAGTTTCATAATCTGGTGATAAACACAACTCCTTGTGAACATTAGGATGCAGAAAGAGTGGGTGGGAACAAACTAACGAAAGGTGTCTAAACTATGGTTTTCAATCTTACAACCCCAGTCTAAGAAGCTCATTATTATGCCAAAAAGTAAACACCATACCAAGATCATCAAATTCTCGGTCGAGAAGAGCAAGCTGCAGTCTAAGGCCTTGTAAACGCCCTCTGGTTGCAAGTGCAATAGATGGTGGCATAAGCAACCGTAATTCGGTATGGCCCAAAAGGCCACTCGCTACAGCAGCATGGGCTTGTGCCTGAGCTTGAAGTTGTTGACAGGTGGCATACATTCTTAAGGATGTGGCCATCAAAAACACTCCAAGCACCAGCCAAAGCTACATAAACAATTAACATGAAAGCCCCTTAAAATTTCAAGTTCAAAATAGTGAAGCAAAGAGATAAAATGCCATTTAAAATTTAACAACTTGGTAAAAGAAAATACCAGAAAATTGGGTGACATCTGATGTGAATTCAATATCATAAACAGCAAAAGAACTGTTGCAACAAACAAAAAATATATATATATATTATCAATAAAGATTAACAGAACAAATGAAATAACCAGGAATTAACACAAACACAAAGCTATTCAAGTACCTGTAATAAGAAACACAAGCGAGTTGGAATTAACAGGACGTCCTGCATGCACACGCTAACAAACAAATGACTTATATCAAAACATATTTATCGAAAACAAAATTAAAAATAACAAAAAATAACTATAATTCAAAAGCCTAAGCACCCATTGTCCTAGCAACCTTTTAGGTCCAACCAATGTAGCCCTCAAAAGCATTTTTAGCTCAAGTTTCTAATAATGAGTAACACTAACTCTAACCCTAATACGGGTTTTCATCAGCAATTGCAACAATGTAAGCCTAAGAAAATGATATATCATAACTATAACTAGACTTGATAATCTAAAACACGACACAATGAAACAACACAAACATGATATGAAAATAGGACACAAAGATGACACGGCTTGAAATTTTAACAATAATTATATATGGGTTTAACTAAACCAAAAAAATGTATTTTATGTTTTCGTGTTGACATGAATTGTGACGCGTAATTTTCATAATATGGTACGAGTACAAAAAATTTAATATTTTACACAATCATGAATACACGAATCACCAAGTCTAACTATAAAAATAGAAAATCAAGTGATCCAAGTAATAGTAACATACCATGGCACGTCTCTCCGGAACAAATCCTGGAAATCCACTCTCTAAATCTGATCTCGTCCCTCGAAAAACAAAACTCATGGTTGTATAAACAAAATTCACCACCTCAACTAAATACCAATAACAATGAAAAAGTTCCCAAATTTTCCAGTCTCAGAGGAATAAAAGAAGTAACTTTATTATATAGAGTCCTAAAAAAAAAAAACCTGCATAAATTAAAAAAAAAAAGAACATTTAATCAGAAAAATCAATGCAATCATATTACATTCTTATTCTCACTCTCGCCACATATTTTAATTAAAATTTAAATAAATCCCTGAAAATTTACTTTAGATGCAAATTTTTTTAAAATCGAAATAATTCTATTTGGAATTATTTTAACACATTTTAGAGTTGTTATTCGAACACAAAAAAATAACAAAATTGATTTAATTCAAAAATTCTAACGAAAATGACCTAAGAACCCTAATCTATAATTATATACGTACATAAGCGGCATCAACGAACATATCTGTAATTGAGAGATTAAAGCTAATAATCAGAAAAAAAAAAAAAGGGAAAAACAAAGACGAAAGAAAGAGGGGAAAGGTGACTTACGGAGATCGGATGGAAAAACGAGGGTTGATCGCGTTCTCCAAGAAATATAATGTCGATGTTGTTACGTACAAGATTAATGGATCTCAGTCCGCGAGGAGCGAGTTGACTCGGACGCGCCGAGCTTTTCTGCCTACCGCTTTCCTCGTCAGCTTCCAAGAACTTCCTGGCTTCTAGTCTAAACCAACACGAAGACTCCCAAACGATGTCGCTCTTTTCCAGTTCTCTAAAACGACATCGTTTATAATTATTTTTCATAAAAAAAAATGTAATATTTTTTTTTTGAACCTTTTTAAAATTTGGACAGAACAGCCAAACAAGGCACTGTAAGAGAAGGTTAGGTGACAGCCGAGGCAGAAGAATATTGCTGTCTGGTGAGCACTGACTGAAAATTATTGTTTTTAATTTAAAAAAAGGAGGCAAGTTTGAAGTGAGGTGGGACCTTTTTGAACCCACGTGTCGACGACTGAAATTGACTTCTGATAAAAAGCCTCATTATTGATGTACACGTGCATTCTCGCAATGGTATCAGAGCTTTTGACAAGTAGGGTCCACCCTATCACGTAAAAACTAGAAAGTAGCCAATACTAGCCTTCACCTCAAAACACTGCCTTAAATAAATACATTTTTAAAAACATGGATATTAATTATTATGACAACTTTTGCTATTATATCCGACTTTTTTGACCAAATGAAATTGAACTTTGATGATTTCATAAAATTATTCCGAAAAATGGGTCTTTTATACTCTTTTTATTTTTCAGACTTTCATAAAATTTTAATATATTTAGTATTAAATTTTAATTTTTTTTAAATTAAAACTTTATAATTTTTAATCTCAAAAAATAAAAAATTAATAATAATTTTAAAATTTTAAAATAAAAGTTTTGGATGTTCTAAAAAATATGATATAATTTTGAGACATATAAAAAAATTAACAAAAATAAGACAAAGAAAGCAATTATCAATTATAATTATTTTTTTGTTTTGATACTTATAATTTTAAAAATCCTCTCTTAATCTCATCATATTTGTTCATGTTTATTTTTTTTAAATAAATTTAATTTTGATAATTTTTTTAATAAAATAGTAAACTATAAAACATTCAGAAATAAGATATTTAAGTTTAGACTTTAAAGTTTTTGATTAAAATTTTTAAATTTTAATTTAATATAATATTTTAGAAAACATTAATCAAAGTTACATTTGTTTGAGTAAAAAATAAAACCATAAACAAACAAAATGAAATTAAAAGAGTGTTAATTCACAAACAAAACTAACCATCAATTATTCAAAATGAAATAATTAAAATGAAATTATTGATTTTGTATTAAAAATTATATTTGAAATTTTTTAAAAAAATCTAATACTATTTTTATAAAATTATTTTATTTAAATAAATTAATTTTGATTTTTCCTCGTGGAAAATGTTTTAAACCATTATGAGACATATAATCTTAAAAAAGATTCTATATCATTGAAAAAAAATTACTTATTGTCGGCATTCAACCTTTTTAGAAGTTAATTCTCTCACGAAACTTTAAGCTCAAAAGATTTATTTTTTGCCATACAAAAAATTAAAAAAAAATTTAAAAACAAACATAAATAAAATTAAAAAAAAAAAAAAAAACAGCACACCCACACACACAAAACAAAAGGAAGTTGTATGCTAGCTGTCACTTGCCAACCAGTGCACCAGCGAAGGTGAATGGGTTGAGTGACTTGACAGTGGCTTTGGCTTGGTGCTTGTACCATATAGCGGCCTTCAAAATTGCCAGCCTGGATTTCTCCAACAGTTCTGACCATTGAGTCAGAGCTGAGATATTAATAATTAAAAAGAAAATAAAAATGATGATTATTGATACTGTATTTATGATTATATTTTTAAAAATTTAATCATAAATTAATTTTTTTATAATATATTTTAAAAATTCAATCACAAAATGATATTTTCTCCTATGATATTGTGAAATAAATTGTATATAATGCGCAATGCAATTCTATGATACACTATGATAATAATTTTTTTACTCAATTCAAAAGCTGCAAGTAAAGATTGAAGTAAAATTTTTGAATGCATCAAGTGCATGAAAATTAATATATATTTAAAATTACTCAAAAAAAATTTGTTAGATTCAAATAAAACATATGATGATCATATATTATATTTTTTTATTCATTGTCAAAAGATAAAAGCCTTCCTATCATTGTGAAGAATAATCTAGAAATAAAAGTTTAAATACATAAAATTATATATAATAATTTAAAATACGATATAATAACATAATATAATCATAATACAAAAATATATATAAAGATACATAATTTTAAATTTTAATAATAATTATATATAAATTTAATAAAATAATAAATATATTTAATATTATATATCAATATAAATTATAATACATATTTTATGTAAAATGCGATATAATACATAAAATTTAATAATTTACATTATATAAATATACAAATTACCATATCAACATGAAATCGACATAAAAAATATTTTTTAAAAATCGATAATAAAAATAAGTTCAAATAAAATTTAAAACTTGATACAAAATATCAGAAGACAAAAAAAAACCCTAATTTCAGATAGAGATTGATTCTGATTCCCTTTACCTAAAGTCACACCTAAAACTTAACATTATATTTTTTTTCTGCCACTAAACTCAACATAGATTCAGAAAATAAAAAATAAAAAATATTTATGTTACAATAAAAAATCCGATGCTTTTCCAATAAAGCCCATACACTGTTCGATCAATGATCCTCTCCATGGAAAAAAGGTGGGCCATTGATCGGACAAGGTGGGCTCCATGACAAACCCCAAAAATACTTCCTCATTTCCATCCTTGAGTGGGACCCTTTTCTTATAGGCCCATCCCAAGCCTTTGACCAGCAAGATCACACCTGACCTCTGCAAATCCAACCCTTGATTTCACCAAATCAAATTCCATCCACACGTTTTGCTGATGATGATGGCCAATCACAAACGCCTCAATACCTAGCAAATCTGAGTTGCCAAATGTGAAGCAATACACCGAATCACTCCCCTTATTCATCCCGGGTACCCTATATAATAACCTCTCACCCGATACAATCATCTCGGCCCCTTGAAATATTAAACTAACTCGCGGTAAATTGGAAAAACTCGCTTGAGATGAAACCCCAACTCGGTAACACAAATCCATTGCCCCTTGAAAAACAAAGTTCGGATCCTCATAAACTCGTAAAACTCCTCTCGTTTGTTGCAAAAACTCGTTTCTCAATGCGGTATAAACTGGACCCAATAAGAAAGTAAATTGGGTACCCGAGTCAACCATTGTTTGACCCGCACCAGTATGATCGGGTAAAAATGCGGATCTTGGTAGGCCCAACAGTTTATTACCGACTTTAATACCTTCTGGTTGGATTGTATATGCAACCCGATCAAAATATGGTAACGGGTCGGATATTTGAATCAAGGGAGTATAATTCAACTCTTTAAGCCACGAGAATCTCGCGTCGCCAAGAAGTAAAACACCAGACGAGTCGAAACCCGATATGCAATATGAGAATTTGGGAAAACCCATTTGACTAACGAAAGATAACGACCCACGATTCATGCCCATTAACCCGGTCGTTTTCGAATCTTCTTCCGAATTCGAGCTATAGCCCGAGTCCATACACCCGAATAACAACCCAGGTCGGGTCAAGGATCCAATTACGAAATTTTCGTACGCAAGGTTTCCTTCAATGGAGGAAGCATCGGCATAAGAGACAGCCACGTGGCAGAGTTTACTATTTGGGTCGCACAAAGCAGGTACGGGTAAGTCTCGGGTGCGGGTGTTACAAACCGGTGAAGCGCACGGGATGGCTTTGTAAGACTTGGAAATTTGAGGGATAAAAATGGAATTTAAGTTGGGTGTTTTTTTACAGTGAAGCCATGAGAGTTCACTCCCTGTGTCGAGGACCATAGTAACATTCTGTGGAGGCGAGCCAACGGATAAAGAAACTGTTAAAGTAACGTTATGGTGGAAAGCAAGTTTGTTAGTAGTGGCGGTGGCGACGGCGGAGGAGGAAAGTTTAGAGTTACGAGGAAAGGCATGTAGGTGATGATGACCGAGGGTTGTTTTGAGTGGTAAAAAGAGTTGTTGTTTGGAAGGAAAAGAAGAGTTTTGATGAAAAAGAAGAAGGAAAATTGTGAAGTGAAGAAGAAAATGAAAAGAAGACATTGATTTTTTTTTTTGTTCTGAGAATGAGTGATTTGTACGTGAAAGTTGTGGGGTGTGGGGGGTGAGGTTTGAAAGAGTTTTCAGTGGCTTTGGTTCATTAAATACTAGGGTTGTGTCGGAAGAGTAGCAAACTCTTTACTTTTCTTTTTTATTTTAAATTTATTTTATTTTATTTTTAAAAGGAAAGCAGAAAAAATCTAGAATATTAATTTTGTAGAGAAAGAAAGAAAGGGAGTATGTTCACGTGGCATCAGTTCCCTACCTCTAGTTTTTACTTTTTTTTTTTTTCTTATTTTTATTATATAAATATAAAAAAAAAGTCAATGAAAATAAAGAAGATGAAAGATCAGTGTTAGATTAATTTTGATACGTACCGATCTATTTTAGATGAATTTTAAAAAATTGAGGTTAAATCGAAATTTTTTTAAAATGATATCAAGTTTAAGATGAATTTAAAGTATATCAATTTGTTTTTTGTGTTGATATTTTTTAATTTTTTATTAAATAAAATTTATAATAAAAAAATAAATTAAAATATAAATGATAAAATAATTTATATTCAATGTATTACGATTCGTTTCAATTTAATTTATATATTTTTTTAATTTAAAATAATTAAATTAAAAATTTTTTTATCGAGCTTAGGTTAGAATAAGGTTGTATATATTATGTTTCGATTTAATATATATATAAATATTTATTATTATTTATTTTATTCAAAAATAACTAATAAATCAACATATAACTCAACAAATCTAATATAAAAATAAACTAAACGTGCATATTACATATCATTTAAACTTAAGATATCAATGTTCCAAGCTCCCTTTTTGTCATTAAAACAAGATTTCATTGGCATATCAATATAATTTTTTTTTTTCAAGATTTTACTTTTAAAAATTTTATATAAAGATTATTTTTAGAAAATTTTACTCAAAAATTAAATGCGATAAAAAAATAATTTTTTTTTACCAACTCAATGAACTCATGTGAATTTTTTATTTTTCTTATTGTTGGTGAAAAGGCTTTCTTTTTCTTAATTAAGAAAAGAAGAAAACAAACGTAAGTTGATGATTTAATTGTTGTTTTCTTATTTTTACTACAATGACAAATTTTGAACAGGAGACTCATGGACGAAATTCAAAAGATAATTATGATGGTAGTTATCACTTTACATCAAAAACATTCAAAACAAAACAAAAAAAGACATATTGGCTACTAGACATTGATATATAAGCTACAATTTATTTTAATATTTTTATTAAATTTATGTATAATTTTTATTATTATTTTATATTATATCTATCACATCATGTTTTAATTTGACTATTAAACTTAAATTTATATATGTTTGTGGATTTCCCATATCTTATTTATTTTTATAAAATATCCTACTCTTAATGTACTACAGTAGAGCAAACCACCTGTATTTTTCAATTTATCAATGTCAACTAGGTTAAAAAAACAAAAAAGAAATGTTCAAATGTTTTAAAAAATAATTTATTTTGTTTTTTAGTAATAATAGTACTTTTGCAGTGGAAAAGTGGGAACTAAAAAATTATGGAAGACAGCACACTTTTAGTGTTTTGTGTATGATTTTGACATATGATTATATATATATATATATATATATATATTTGTGAGCCTTTTGTCAGGCTGCTTACAAAATAAACTCACAAAACCAGAGGCAAAATTTATCCCAAAAATAAATAATAAAAGTACCAATTATTTGGATTTTAAGAACAAATTTTACTATATTATTATTATTTTTATAATACATTCATGAGTTTTTTAACTTTTCTTTGAATTTTTTTTTATTTTTCTACTACATATCCATACATTGATTAAAATTTTACTTTTAATGTACTTCCTCCAAAAATTAAATTTTGCTTGAATAAATTATCATGTAATTAGTGAGTACAAACTTTAAGAAAAAGTTTGTCTTATTTGAATTATTAAAATTATTATATTATGGAATTATTTACCTTTTCCTAATCCAATTTGTTTTTTATTGTTGATTCAAAAGCTAAGTTTATCTGAATTTAATTTTAATTCAATTAATTTTTATAATCACTTATAAAAAATATCATTTAATAGATTTTGAATTTAAATTTTAATATATGCAATATTTCTTTTACATTGATTAAAATTCTACTTTTAAAGTACTTCCTTTAAAAATTAAATTTTGATTGAATAAATTATAGGGTAATTGCTAAGTACAAATTTTAAGAAATAAATTTGTCTTACTTGAATTATTGGAATAATTATTTTATTGAATTATTTACCTTTTCTTAATCCAATTTGTTTTTTTATTGTTGATTCAAAGCTATTTTTTAAATTTAAAATTTAATTTAAATAATTTATATAATTATTTACAAAAATATTATTTATTTATTTTTATTCCAAGCTGAAGTCTCCTTTGTACCAAAAAGCAACTCTCTCTGTCTACTCTCTTTGTCTATATATGTATTAGCTTCCTCATATCTTCTCCTCACAAGTTCACCCTTCACCAAATAAAAACCAAATCTAAGGTTGTTGCTTCTTGGTTGGACTTTGAAGTAAAGGTTGGGTGAAGTAATCTTTACTTTGTAAATTTAGTTTGGAAAATTCCAAATTATCTTGAGCTTGGATGAAAAATAATTAGATGATCCTTTGAGTTTTCCTTACATAAAATTGAATGAGTGATGCTCACTCTTGTCATTGGTTTTTTTTTTTTTTTTAATGCTTTGCCATCTCTATTTCCAATGTTATATTATTGATTTTAACAAAAAAAAAAGTTATTAAAAATATCCAAAATAATGTTCATAATAAATCCATTTAATTTGTACTTTGTTTTATCATTAATAATAAATTAAAAATAAGCAGGTTTTTTTTTATCCCATAAATTTTAATACAATCTTTTCAAGTTCAAGAAATGTGAAATGTTTTAAGTTGAAATGCAAAAAATTTAACCAACAAATAATTAATAATTATATGATATATTGATAAAATATTAAACTCGTAATTTTAATAATCAGAGTTTAATTTTTAACGGTTTCAAATATTTTTAAAAATTTTGAAAATTGATTATCAATAAATTTTTTATTTAAAAGGATAAGATTTTATGGTAATAAATTATTTGTAACTAATTTATGAATGAAGGAAAAAGGAAGATTCATGGTTAGAATCAGAACACTGTTTTTTTTTTTTTTTAATGAACCGACATGCCCTTTTAGAAAGTGTTAATAGGAATGTGCAATTGGAGACAAAAAGTTGGTAATTTTATTTAGAAACCAACGGAGAAGAAGAAGCCAAGAACTCTAGAAAAATGAGAAAAACTTTATTTTAATTCTTGACTTTTTGGGCTTTTTAATTTAATTAATAAATAACTGAGTAATTAATTTTGAGTCAATGACACTTAATTAAAGAAAGGTTGAAAACACTTTCGGCAAAGAGACTTTAGTCTTTGAGCAGTGTCAAATGGGTTGGGCGTGAATGACACTCTACGATTTGGTACAGTATCGATCGTTTTGGAGATGATTTGCTATTAAATAATTATGTTAAATCAAATATAATATATATATATATATATGTGTGTGTTATGCTGAGTTAAAAATTTTTAAATTCATAAATCAGTATAACATAATTTGTTAAAAATCAATGTTAGCATGTGATATAGTACGACACCATATATAAATTCAAATGTGTAGTGCCATATTAATCCATAATGGTTTCTACCCTTTAAGTGTATTTATATTATTTTTATATTATAATAAATTTATATTTATTTTTTATAATTTATAAAATAAAATTATATTAAATAAATTTACTTATTAAAATTTAAATTATTGATAGATAAATTATATCTAATTAATTTGTAAATCGTTGAATGTACAAATTGTTTTTATTAAATTTGTTTGTATAAAAATAAATTGATATTTTTTTAAAGTTATATAATCAAAATCTTCAAACTTATAATATATATATATATAAAAGATTGTAGTTGTAAAACAAAAGAAGGGACTGATCATTTGAAAAGACAAAAAAAAAAATTGAGATTGCATCTTTCACTTTTAATAATCTTAAATAAATTGCACTTAATCAACATTCCAATAGGTTTTTAGATGCATTTTTATTTTTCACAAAATAATTGATGTAATCAATTAGTTAAAAATTAATAAATTATATTTGACTTAGCTCGGCATAAAAAATAGTATTGTGCTTAGCACGGCATAACTTATAAAGATTACAAATCATGTGTCATATTAAATCATACTCTTAACGATTATAAATTGTACTAACAAAACACATTAAAAATTAATATTTAATCAACACAATCTATTAACATATGAATTTAAATTTAAATAATTTATGTTAATTCAACACGATCCATTTGACATATTTATCTTTGAGGCACAACAGCTACATGAGAGAGTTTCGATTAGTAACACACCTCCAAAAGCAATTTTTTTTTAATTATTGTTTTTTGGTTTGATTGATAAACATAAGTTTATCAAGCACTAAAAATTATTAGCAATTAGGGCAAGAACCAAACTTAATTAATTGGCTAAATTTACTAATAATAAATAAGTTAATCTAATTTAACATTTAAGTTTTTTTAATATTCCAAACCAATTTCAACAATTGAGTAATTAAATCAATTCAAAATTTTGTTTGTACAATCAATTTATTAATAAAATTATAATATATATATTTTATATTATAATATTTTTTAAAAAATTAGTCTATACCTTAAACGATTTTATCTATATAAACAAATTACAACCATAATTAAATAATTATAAACATATATGATATAACATTTTACATACGATTGAAAGAGTTAAAAAAATAAATTCAACAAATAAACTCATGAATCAATGATTAAATTCAAAGTTAGATTTAAGAGTTTGGCATCAAAGCGTTTACAATTTTCACATACCAATCAAAATCCACCGATCATGGCACCGAAGATGAACTTTTCTAGTACAATTTATGGTGAATTCAATGCTTCGAGAAAATGTCACAAGAAAAATATACTATTTTCATCAAAACGTATTAAATAGGGTTTCTATT